CTACTATCCCCATTTATTTGTACTCATTTCCCTTGTTCATGCCCATCTTTATACTTATACCTGTAATCTTGTACATAAAATAAAATAAAATAAAATATAAGTGTCAGGGTGGTATATAAATCTAAGTGCTATTACTGAGTGTGTTAGATATTAGTTCTAACTACAGTGGTTTCCACCAAGCTCCTCTGTTGCGGCGGGAACAGAGGTTTAATCCTATTGGTCGAAGGGTCTGACAGCTCCCTATAAAAGGGCTGCTATCAGACTCAACCTTCGCTGGATTGTTCTCACTTGTACTCAATAAAGAGCTGTTGTTACCGTTAAGCCTGTGTGTGCCTATCCATTACCCAATCTAACACTGGCGATGAAGGTGGGATTGGAAGGCAACTAGGTGAACCAAAAAAAGCATAGCAATCCAGCAAGTACATCCAGCCTGGAGCTCAGGGCAGCTCCGAGCAGCCATTTTTGAGCAGCAAACTCAAATCGCCCTCTGTACACAAAATGGCTAAGCAAGTCCCACCGACTCCGCATGATCCAGTCACTGAGCACTGGGAATCGTACATGCTACGATTTGACTGCTTCCTTGAGGCAAACAACCTCATGGGCCTTCCTGAAGGCTGCAAGAAGAACAATTTCCTCGGATACTGTGGTTTAATCCTATTGGTTGAAGGGTCTGACAGCTCCCTATAAAAGGGCTGCTATCAGACTTAACCTTCGCTGGATTGTTCTCACTTGTTGTACTCAATAAAGAGCTATTGTTACCATTAAGCCTGTGTGTGCCTATCCATTACCCAATCTAACAGAGTGCTTATCAAGAAAGTTTACCATTGCTGCATGCCCCATTCTTAGTGCCCTGTCAACTGAAGTAAGGCTGCTGGTTGCAAGAGAGTACAATTAATCATTTTAATTTTAATTTGGGGAGCCATTCGGAAAACAATTACTCTTAGAAATAGAAAAGCATCTTTATAGCTTTATAGAGAATTAGATTTTAAGTTTCCACACTGCATTGTGACAGTGGATTCCATGTTGTTTTCTACCATTTAGAAAAATTATTGTTTTATTATTATTTTTCTTTTTATTTCTTTTATGTTGTGTTTTTAATGTCCTTGTAAGCCGCCTTGAGTCTCCATGTGTGGGTAGGCAGCAATATAAATTTTCTAAAGAAATAAATATATTTAATTGCACTGCACTCCTTTAATTGCATTGTACTGTTTTGATGTTTTTCTTTTAGAAACATTTTTAGAAATTCTTAATGCTTTAAGTCACTTTACAATCTGCCCAGGGAACTTTGATCATTAGATAATTAAAAATACAAGAAAGAATAATGAATAGTAATGACTGTGCTGTTCAAGGCTAAGCCCTCTGAGTTTTACATTAATACAAATATAATGCCCAAATGCAGACATTCACCCAAACAGACATTGCTAACGGCAAGATGGTAAAACATGGCCGCCCTTCACCACAAGGCCAAAATGTAAACCAGGCTAAACATTTGATAAATCAGGACATTTTACTGCTAAATGTGAGGAAAACCTGGTGGACTAAGTGTGGGGGTAAGCAAAAATGACCATTGTAGGACATGAACATTTCAGAGAATTCAGGAATGTTCTAATTCTCCTCTGGACCTTCAGATGTGGCCATTCCAAGGCTAATCAAAAAGTTTTACAAAACACAATCTTCTGTAGCCTGTGATGCACCAGACAACTGTTGGTTTCAGACCAGAATATTCGTGTCCAGAATATTATAACTGGTTTCCACTCAGTAATGTTGTCCTCTTTTCTTCACTACCAGTTTGATAGCGGGAGCATGCACAGAAGGTCCGCGATGATGTCTGGGTGGGTGGGCGGAGCCTCGCAGTGCCACCGCTACCGGTTCACCCAAACTGGTGCGAACCGGCAGCATACCACCTCTGTTTCCATTTCAAAGAACAGGTTTTAAAAAAGCTGCTGGACCATGGTAAGGAACGGCAGGATCTCAAAGACCATCCCATTCCCAGTATGGTAACTGATATACATCCTAGTCAAAATAAGTGTTAATTCTTGAGCAATGATGAAATATGGGTGTTTTAATGCCAATATAACAGGAAATCCTGGCACTGCACGAAATAATTAAGGCAGATGTGATGACCAATGCAGGTAGTCCTCAACTTATGACCACAATTGTTCCCCCAAATTTATGTTTCTAAGTAAGAAACTTGTTAATTTGCCCCATTTTATGACCTTTCTTGCCACAATTGTAAAGTGAATCTTTGCCGTTGTTAAATTAGTAGCACGATTGTTAAGTGAATCCAGTTTCCCTATTGACTTTGCTTGTCAGAAGGTTGCAAAAGAGGATCACATGACCTCGGGATACTGCAACCGTCATAAAGGTGAGTCAGTTGTCAAGCAGCTGACTGTAAATCATGTGACCACAGGGATGCTGCAATGGACATAAGAGTGAAAAATGGTTATGTCACTTTTTTTAGTCCCGTTGTAACTTTGAATTCTCTTCCTCATTCTCTTCACTAAATGAACTGTTGTAAGTAGAGGACTACCTGTATATCCAAAATTCTCAACCATCGTAACCAGGGCAAATACTGGGATTTATAGCTGAAACACTTTTGCAGGGTGTCATACTGGAATGGTTATTCTTTGTTGTTGTTAGTTGTCAAGTCGTGTCTGACCCATCTCAATCCCATGGACAATGTTCCTCCAGGCCTTCCTGTCCTCTACCATCCACTGGAGTCCATTAAAGCTGCTTCTATGATTCCATCCAGCCACCTCATTCTCTGTCGTCCCCTTCTTCTTTTGCCCTCAATCTTTCCCAGCATTAGGCTCTTCTCCAGTGAGTCTTTCCTTCTCA